GGCCGTTGGGGGTGGCCGTTGGCGGGGGGCGGGGAATGGAGGGGGCGCGTAGCGACCGTTGTGGGTGGCCGTTGGGGCACAGCCGTTGGACAGGGAGGGAGGGGGCGTGAGGTGGCCGTTGGGGTGGCTGCTAGGGCAGGCCCTGAGCGGTGCCCCGCAGACTGCCAGCTGGAGAAGCTGCCCATGCGGCCGCGGGACCGTGCGCGGGTCATCGACGCCGCCAAGCACGCGCACAAGTTCTGCAACGCCGAGGAGGAGGAGAGCGTCTACCTGCGCAGGTGGGGCCGCGCGGGGCCGGGGGGCTCGGCAGCCCGCCCGTCCCCTCACCACCTCTCCTCTCCGCAGGCCGGAGGGCATAGAGCGGCAGTACAGGAAGAAGTGCGGCAAGTAAGTGACGCGGGCAGCACAAACCCTGCTTGTGCGCTGGTTTGCATCTCCGATTCCTCCTCGCCCCGCCCTGCCTCCTTAGAAATAACGTTTTCAACACTGTTTAGTTACTGACAATCGCTCTCCTTGGGGTCTGTTACAGTGTTTTGCAAGCTTGATTCACATCTAATCTAAAACTAGAATATTACTTGACACTTCCTGTCATCTCTGTACAGCACTTTGTTTTATTGTGTTGYTTATTTGCGTGACCTGGGAAAACCGGGGTGAGCTAAGCATGTGTCACTGAATGCCAAGGAAAATGGGAACACTAGTGTAATCAAAATCAGAAGTTACTCATTATTTTGGTTTATGGTTGCTGGTTTATTCTGTTGTTATAGGCTTTTGTAAAAGGCTTCAACCCTGCCATGCACATTTAAACCCTTAATCGTTGCTAGAATGTGATAGGAGTGCGGTGATGATAAACTTTTTTTTAGTAATTTTTAAAGACCTTCTGAGGTAACTGTGGGAATGGCAAATCTGGGTTTTCTCGTAGCTTTGTTTGTATTTGCAGGTGTGGACTGCTGCTCTTTTATCAACACCAACAGAAAAATGCCCCTGTGACTTTCATTGTGGATGGTGCTGTGGTCAAGTTTGGCCAGGGCTTTGGGAAAACAAACATATATACTCAAAAACAAGAGCCTCCCAAAAAGGTATTCAGCTTCAGAGCAGTAGCAAAGCTGTCTCTGCTTTTCAAAAAGGTGCAGTGATAAAATCACCTTATTAGGGGGAGGAAAAGGACTTATAACAAGATAACTCAGCTCCATCTTCTCCATGTGTGCCTTTAGTCTTCCTTAACAGAGGTCATAGCAGCTTGGTGTCCTAGGACTAAAGCCAAGCAAAATGAACTCGGAAATCTGGAGCGTGATCTTTGGGCCTGGTTACCAGGTTTCCCATCATAAATAGGTCAGGTTATAGTCACCTCTCAGTCTGTGTTATCAAGCACACTGATTGCCAATTTGGGGGCGAGTTAGTTCCTGATAATGACAGCTCTGAGCTCGGAAGCCACCGGGTCTGGTTCTGCTGTGCTGTCCACTGAGTTCGTGTAATCTTAGTGACTTGAACTGAACTTTTCCAAGCTTTGGGAGGGGAGCACTGGGGCTCCCTATTCCCAGAGTGTAACAAAAGGTCGTCTTTTCACACAGGTGATGATGACCAAACGGACCAAAGATATGGGCAAGTTCAGTTCAGTCACAGTCTCCACAATTGATGAAGAGGAGGAAGAGATTGAAGCGGTGAGTTTTCTCTGCCCCCAGTGCCAGCAAGGTGTGAGCTGGGCAGCTGGATCAAAGCTGATGATTCCCTCCCCAGTTGGATAAGAKGCCGTTAGTCTGTTGCGAAGTGACACTGTCTGTGTTTCAGAGGGAGATTGCAGACTCCTATGCACAGAATGCAAAAGTAATTGAGAAGCAACTGGAACGCAAAGGAATGAGCAAAAGAAGGCTACAGGAGTTGGTGAGTGTTTTCTTTGCTGTTAAACATGAGTCTCTGAGGTCTCCTGGCTTTGTGCACAGAAGTTATCTTAAAATTCAAACTGAGTATTTCAGAGTACAGAATGGTACAGACGTAGGTAACTTGCAGCCTTGTGAGGACCATTTTTCCTTTACAGGTTGTACAGAGGTGTTCCTCTGGTCCTCCCGTACATAAAAACATGCACAATTATATTGAGCTAACCAGGGAGCGGCCAGCAGAGCTTTTATAGGGTCTTGACCTGTCAGACAAGGAAAGTGGAAGGGGAAAACCCTGCGGAGGCGCTACCACCCAGGGCCCCACTCAGTGCTGCAGTCGCAGGCTCTCGTCGTCTTCTCAGAAGACCAGACCTCACTGGACACCGAGAGGAAACATTCCCAGGCCTTATTTCATTCTGTCTTAATTTTCTTAATCAGGCTGAGCTGGAAGCCAAGAAAGCCAAGATGAAAGGAACCCTGATCGATAACCAGTTCAAATGAAATGCTGCACGTTGCTGGGCGTTTGGAGATGGGAAGAACGACCAGGAACCCTGCGGCTCCATCAGCGTAGCAGAAATAATGGACAATACTCAAGAGCAGCTCTCTGCAACAAGCTTGGAGGCTTGAATCTCTCCCTAGCATGGGTGATGCTCGGGTATTTTAATAACTGAACTGGCACTGGAAACTTCCCTGAAATGTGGGTTTGTTACAAATAGAAAGTTGTTCCACACAGAACACCTGCGTTTGGGGAAAAATTTTACTGAGTGCCTGCATGTGTTCCATGCACCATTGATACTTCTCTTTTTGTTTTGATAGTTTTCAGATCTGCATAACATTTCCATAAATGTATTAGAGCAACAGGTCAAGTGTGCAACAAAGCAATCCCTTGCCAAAGCAAGCTGTGCGCCTCCTCTTCCTGTTACCTGTGTCCAAACCTGCTGAGAGAGCGGCCACTTGAGCACGGCTGGAGCGACTCAGGTCCGGTCCCAGATTTAGGAATCACGCTGCTGCTCACTGTGGTCAGTGGGCAGAGGCAGCAGTTTAGGCTTGGCAGTAACTTTCCAAGTTTAAGCTCCTATTGAATGAGAAAAAGCAGCAATTTTACAGAATTCCACAATTAAAACTATACCAAGAGTTACCTGGCACATACAAGAATGTGAAATTCAACACTACTTTACTGGAATTAAAAACTGCTGAGCTGTTAGATCATTAATGAATCAGTAGCCTGAACCACCACTGCTATAACCAGTGATCATTTAAATTAAAAAACAGCTTCATTTTCAAACTAACTTTTGAGCTCACCCACCATAAAAGACTTGGACAACATTAGGAATCCATGCACAGAAGTATTGCCTTGCTTGGGCAGGAATATTTTGCTTTATCTATTTTACACATTCTAATGATAACACTGCAGTCCATATTTAGTTGGGCTTAAGTGCTACATTATGGGTTTGAATTAAAACATATTTCCATWTTTTTTTTTTATTTTATTTTACCACTTCTCTCCAAACAATCCATGAGCAAAGTACAAGATGAAGCATCTCCATGGCGCTTATGGAAGAAGCTCCTCTTTATCAATAAAGACCTTCTGTCTGGCCTTATAAAATTGACTGGTCTCCTTAGACCAAGGCTGCTTCCTTTCTTTCCTTGGGAAAACCAGGTGTGCAGGACAGGGGGAAGCTTCTGGCGCTGGCAGGCCGGGATGCACGGGGGCTCTGGAAGGCGGCGTTCCGTAGGGCTGGGCGAGCACGTGGGTGTGGGTCTCGTCCAGGGCTCCTCGTGCGCTGCTCCGAACCCTGTTTGCAGAGGGTGGGCCCTGAAGCCACTGCGAGGCCGCGTGTGACGGGGAGCCGGGCAAGGGCGATGGCTGCGAGCAAGTCCTTCACCTCGAGGAGCCCCGTCCTCGTGGTGACGCCCTGCAGCCCGGACACAGCCTCAGGGCTCCCCGTGCGTCCAGGGAGAGCCCCAGGACCCCTGGCCAGAGCTCCCCAAGGCTGAAATAACCCCCAGGCTGGGCTGCCTTCTGCCCCAGGCAGAGCTGGGAGAAGAGGGCGCAGAAAGACTTCATTTAAATACAAAAGAGTTTTTATATATGTTTTTATGTTTATGTCATATACAAATTTTTATGCTTCTAGCAACAGGAAGCAGAAGCAGAGGCTTCTAGCTGAAATCCTTAAATTTAAAATAAAGTCCTGACATAATAAGTACAACTAGTTGTTCTGAAGAGTTTTCAACACCCTTGCAGCAACCAAGGAAGGGCTGTTATGTCCATAAGAGCTTTTCCTACTCTGGAAACATTCCCGAGCAAGACAACATGTGAATTGAGARTATGAGAGGAGATGTGTCCCCAGAATGATGCCCGTGCAGCCAGTCCTACCAGAAGTACGTGTTTCTTCCAGTGGGACAGTTTCCAAAGGCTGTCCCATAGGTTTCCCATAGGAATGGTGTAACGTGAATTATCACGTCCAGATAATTCCATGTGTTGCAAAGCTGCCTTGTTCCTCACAGCTCCAAAATGCACAGAGCTGGTAAGTGCTGAAGYGAAGCAGTAACGGGGAAGTGGGAATGACCTACGGAGGTTGTCCCCAGGGAGCAGCAGGACACCCCACACGTGGCTAATGCCGTGGTACAGACTACCACGCAGCACCAGAATCTGCTCGGAAGCAGCACAGTCCACCCACCCGCCCAGCCTGCTGCTCTGTCGGGCTCCGGGTGGCTTCACAGGGTGCCCAGGTCAGCCCAGCCCTGTGCATCCCGCAGCACCGCGCGCGTCGTGGTGCCGGCGCAGCTCCAACACTGTCTGTGCGCGCGGGCCGCGCAGTGCACACAAAGGCACAAGCAGAAACACGTTTTGGCACCTACCTGAGCACGGCAGTGACCGCAGCAGCCAGCTCAGCCCCGTGAGGAGCACCCTGGACCTCTGCCGAGACGGGCAAACCGCAAGGAGCCGTCGAGTCCCTCCGTGGAGTGGCTTCCCTTCCCAGGCAAGCCGGCGCGACGCTCYGCAAGGGAGCTGCTGCAGCCACCTGGTAGTGCCACGTGCCCTCGCTTCCATGCTGGAAATAACTGCCCAAGACAAAAATCCAGGTTCCCCAGAACTGGCCGGGATTCTCTTACTCYGTGGGAATCTGTACGCCTTGATTTACTATTCACACCTCTGACCTACAGTAATTATTAAAATAAGAGTTTGTGCATCCTAGACAGCACATTCCTGCTTGTAAATTAATTCTTTGTCTGAACATAATAAACCTTTAGAACACTGTTGTGCCTGTTATTAGCTTTGGGGCATAATTAGCAATTTGTGTGGGTGGAAGGTGGTGCTCCCAGGGCCTGCTGTCGCTGCCCCGGGCAGTGGGATGGGGCAGGGTGGTTTTAGGGGGGGACCCTGCAGCTTGGAGGATCATCCCTCTCAGAGCAGCGGGGCTGTGGTGCAAACACATGGGGTTCATGCACGTCTGTGGTGCAAACACTCACTCTGTTGTGAGCAGGAGTCCCCTGCTCCGGCTGCCCCCTGTCCCCATTGGGAGCAACAGGAAGGAGCAGTCCCGGGCCACTCCTCGCCATCCTGGCTTCCTCACGCACTTCTCCAGCCAGGGGATTTTTGGTCCTCCGGACAGAGCCTGTGAATTACTCCTATGAAAGGCAGCCAAGAGAGGATGCCCCTGTGGCCAGGACTGACGCCTGCCCGGCAGTTCCCTGGGAAAACTCCAGGAGAGCTGCACATGTTGGGAGGAAAAAGCCCTTTAAAGCACTGGCTGAATCACAGAATGGTTGAGGTTGGAAGGGACCTCTAGGGATCATCTAGTCCAACCCCTCTGCTCCAGCAGGGACACCCACAGCACAGGGTGGCATCCAGGTGGCTTTGGAAGATCTCTGGAGAAGGAGACTCCACAGCCTTCCTGGGCAGCCTGTGCCAGGGCTCTGTCACCTTCCCTGTCAAGAAGTTCTTCCTCACATGGAGATGGAACTGCCTGTGTTTCAGCTTACACCCATCACCCCTTGTCCTGTCACTAGCCACCACTGAGAAGAGCTCAGCCTCTTCCTCCCTACATTCTACTCTCAGGTATTTGGACATGTTGATCAGATCCCCTCTCAATCTTCTCTTCTCCAGACTAAACAGGCCCTAAAYAGGTCTGTGCCCTCAACCACCACCCCCACCCAGCACAAAGGGATCGTGCACTCACCCTCCTCTTCCTTCTCCTCGCTCTGCCATAGCCAGCAGCATCCCCTCCAGGCAGGAAAATGCCTCCTGGAGCCGTAGGCRGTGTTCCGGGAAGGCCTTGGCCATGTGGGAGCGCCCAGCAGCTGAAGGCAATGAGAGCAGGGAGCCGTCGGAGCCAGCTGCGCRGGGGAGCAGGGAGGGCTCCTGCCAAGGCCGCTGTCTGCAGCTGGGCCTGGCTCTGCTTCTCCGGGGAGGCCTCCAGCCCCTCTTTCCCACTGCCGTATCCGGGGCCTCACAGCGCAAGGCCTGAGGGCAGCGGGAAGGCGCCAGCGAAGGCCCTTGGCTCTGCAGCGCGGCCACGTCCCAGTCCTGGTGTCACTGAGGGCACYGGGATGGAGCAGGTGGATTTGCAGCCCCGGATCCCCTGCAGAGCCCCCTGAACAGCCCATGCCGGCGCCTCGAGGGCTGCAGACACGTGTGCCCGGCGCCGCTCTCACCCCTCGCTCCCGGCACCATCCGCCACCAAAGCGACGCCCACCCTTCGTGGCCCGAGCGCCCGCCCAGACAGCRGTCAAGATGAGTTTCAGTGATGGAGACCAACTGCCCGAAACAAGCCCGAGCAGCCCAGTGGGATTACTCAAAAAGCCAAGGCCATAAGGAGGGGCTGTTTTGTCTTGGGGTCAGGTAGCCGGGACCAGAGGAGCCCATTCACCCCCGTGGCTCCCAGACAGGCGCTGAGCAGCTTCCCGGCTTGCGGARGAGCCTGCACCAAAGCCAGGCCACCCACCCTGTTAAGGCTTGGAGCATCTTCCCTGGCCGGCGCCGTGGCACCAGGGAATTCCTCCCCTCCAATGCAAATGGGAGACTGTGGAGTGCTCAGCACAGAGGTGGGCATGAGCCCTGTCCCCTGCCTGGGTGACAGCAGCAGAAGGGGCTCCCTGCTGCACCCGGCACCGCACCCAGGGGCCCGGCTGCCCACAGTGTTTACAAAACAGCAGCAATTACCCACGCTTGTTTTCTCCAGCCSGCTTTTAACACGCCCAGGCACAGAGCTGGTGTCCTAAGCCAGCGCAGGTGATCCCAGCTCCTTGCCCTTTCCAGCAACAGACAGTGCTCTATGGATATGTGTGCAGCCTCGCCAGGGTTTAGTTCAGGTGGAAGGGCTGGTGCCTTGGAGGGCCCTGCGGAGCACCCAGGCCAGAGGCAGGACAATGGGGCTCTGCTGCAGAGCTGGCGGCCCCGAAGCCAYTCACTGTCCCCAAGGTGGCAGCTTTCCTGGCCAATAGCCCCTCGTTTGCCTACTGGAGCCAGGGGATGGAYCCTACCTTCTCTGCCATCCTCGCCACAGCCTCCAGGAGAACAAACTCAACACAAGGAAAGTGGTTTCAGTTTTTTATTTCTTGGTACCCTTTAAGCTGAAGTGATTGAAATAGAAACCATGATTGAGTCCCATGAGGGGCAYGGCCCCATGAAGACAGGGCAGACAGCCCTGCCCCATGTCGACCTGTATAAATACCAGCTGCCAGTGATCAGTAGCTAGACGGTTTTGATACAGTCCATGAATGGTCACAGGTTACATAATGCAACATGCCAGTTCACAAAAGGAAATAACTTATGTGTATTTCTTGATTTCGTCGTACAGGACTAGGACAAAAGCACCACCCATTCCTCGCAGTACGTTCGACCAAGCTCCTTTAAAAAACGCTTTGGAGCCCTCATCGCGGGCGATCTTCCGCCAGCAGTCGATCGTGCCCGTGTACATTATGTCAGCTGCAGGAGACAGAAATCGTTAGCAATCTCATGCCCAGGACCCCCAAATGCAGGTGAGAAGTGGCCCTGCTTCACAATCTCAGGTAAATTATTTCTTGACTTGCATCCTCCAATATTATTGAAGGACAATGTTGTCCCAGGAGAAATGCTGCAGCTGTACTGCTCCCAGGAGACACTGGAAGGACCTGTTTGAGCAGGATGCAACTACCGCTTGCTAGACACCAACATCCAACATTTCCAGACCCAGCACCTATTGCACAGTGAGCCAGGCCATGCCTGCAATGAGGAACATCTCCTCTTGGCCCAGGGAGACTAGTTTGCACCATCCCTGGGCAAGCTCTGTTACTGATAGAGATGTTACTTGTATGTGCCACGTTAGAGCAGTCCCCGGTGGACTAACTCATCTATTCCTCTCACCTAACACTGCGCTATTTGCGAGAATAAAGCATATCTACAGGTCCTGCTGAAAGCCAAACCACGCTGCCTTTACCAGAGATTCCCCAGCAGCTGCTTTCTCTGGGGATGCCCAACACTTCCCTATGCAAGGCAAGGGGGAACCTACCTCCCTTACGGCCGGACTGCATCATCATGCGGCGCCGAACCGTATCGAAAGGATAGGAGGTCAAGCCGGCCACGGCAGTGACCGTCTGCGCAATCATCCAGCTGACGACGATGTGGGTGTTCTTGGGGTCCGGGAGCATGCCTGGGGGGACAGGGATCGGTGTGAGGCGCCGGAGGAGCCAGCGGCATGCGCCGAAACGCACGACGGATCCGCTGCGCCCCAGTGCCTCCCTTGGAGCTCCGCCGCGGTCCACCTACCCTTTGCCGTGTCGTAGATGCCAAAGTAGGCAGCTCTGTAGATAATGATGCCYTGGACGGACACATTGAAGCCTTGGTACAGGCCCCTAAGGCCGTCCGAGCGGAAGATTTTGACCAGGCAGTCACCGAGCCCGCTGAACTCGCGGTCGGCGCCCGCTTTGCCCACGTCGGCGGCCAGGCGGGTGCGGGCAAAGTCAAGGGGATAGACGAAACAGAGGGAGGTGGCGCCGGCGGCGCCGCCGGACGCCAGGTTACCGGCGAAGTACCGCCAGAACTGGGTCCTTTTGTCCACGCCGCCCAGGAAGAGCTGCTTGTACTTGTCTTTGAAGGCGAAGTTGAGCGCCTGCGTGGGGAAGTACCTGATCACATTGGCCAGGTTGCCGCGCCAGAAGGAGAGGACGCCCTGCTCGCGCGGGATGCGCACCACGCAGTCCACGATGCCCTTGTACTGCTTGTCGGCCGCGATCTGCTTGCTGGCGTGCTGCACCTGCGGGGCCCGCCCGTGAGCGCCGAACCGGCACCGGCMCCGGTACCGGCCCGCGCCCCGCTGCCCGCCCCCGCCGCCCCCACCTGCAGCAGCAGCTTGACCCGCTCGATGGGCGCCACGGCCGTCTTGGAGATGGCGGCCGCCACCCCCCCGGCCAGGAAATCCTTGGCGAAGGACACGGCCGCATCGGTCATGGCGGCGGGAGCGGCGCGGGACGGGAGCGGAGCGCGGCGGGACTGCGCGGAGCGAGCAGGCACTGCGGGCCCGCAGCTGAAATGGCCGCCCTTATATAGTGCCGGCGGGAGGCCACGTGGGCGAGRAGGCGGGGCTAGCGGCAGCGTCGCCGCACCCCGCCCGCCCATTGGCTGGCGCGAGGGGCGGGGCCGCCGCAGCGGGGCGGGGCCGGGCGTTGGGGCCGGGGGCTCCCGCAGCCCGGGAGCGCCCGGATCCCCCCGGGGCTCCCTCGGATCCCGCCGGGCCCCTCGACCCTCCTCCCACCTCCCGGGCCTCCCCCGGGCTCCAGGGAGCACACACGGGCCGATAACGGGTTGATAGGTGGTTTATAGGCCTGAGGGTTACAGTGCAGTACAAGGCAGGGGTCATTAGCACACCRGGTTAGAGGTAACGGTTTAGCGCACTTAGCTGTGATCAGGTAGTGCTCACAGTGCCACAAACCCGTACAGAAATTCACCATTAGTAACACACATGAGGGTGCCCGGGTCAAGCAAGGGCACCCTGCAAGAGATCGGTTCCTCCCGACTCATTCCAGTAGCGACCCAAGTCACATTTTTCTTGCATCCCAAATAAGTCTCATTTCCTTATTCACGGAGCCAGACAGATCTCAGCATCGTCGCCTGCATCGTGCAGACAGAAGCGAGGCAGCGCCGTGGCGAGGGAGGCGGCAGTACTCACAGCCCGGACAGATGCACAAGGTCGTCTCTAATGTCCTGCTTTTTGCCATCACTGTCTTATTTCTCTACATCTCCCACCAAGAGGATCTAATTTTTGTTGTGTGAAGCTCCCTAGACTGTCCCRAGGCCTCTGCATTGCATATGCTCTGGCAAAGAGCTAGTGGTGCCGGAGGGATTTTGCATCCACAGAGGTGCYGTGGCTCCCACATCGCAGTGCTTCGGGTGGGAGAGCCCGGCTGCGCCCAAGAGCCAGGGAGCGGCTTCATATAAAAATAGAGCTTTGAGAGCAAATACTGAAAAAACATCACAAAGTCTTGGCACACAGCTAACACGTTTAAGAAGTGCATTTTTCAGGAAATATCTCTCCTGGAGGATTTCAGGAAAAGCATTTTTCTGGATCTGAAGTAATCCACCTCTATGCAGCAACGGTGCAGGAGAAAGGGGGAATTTTTTTCTATTAAGTGCTTAAGTTTTCAGATTGTCATTCCAGTGTTTCAGAGTTCACTTATACTACAGTTCTCTTCTAGCAAAAGCACAAGTGCAGCAGCATATTTTAAATAGTTATGTTAAAGACTTGCACTAAATTATTATTCTGAASTAAGCCTCAAAAATGGAAAATGAGATTTCTCAATGTGAATGACCAGGGGCATGTGCAGAAGGCCCTGTCCACACGGTACCACAGAGAGATTCAGCAGAAATGCTCGCACACTGGATGACTTCCAGTCTGTTTACAATTTTCTGCTGACATCATATCTCAGACAACTTCAGAAAAGGTATCTGATTTTTTTCTAACATTTTGAAGATATTCAAAGATATTCTAACATTTTGAATAACTTGTACCTTCATCTCAGTTCTCTTATTTGCAAGTGGTTTTATCTTAAAAAGACTATCTAGCATTGAAAAGTACCTAAATTAAGCTAATTTCCACTAGCATAAGGTTTTCAAACTAGTTGCCTTCCTCCTCTTCAAAGTACGTTTGATACTCACATTGCTCGTATCCATTTAGCAAATGAGATGCAAGATTTATACTAGTGTTTCCATACCAAAACCATATAGTCTGGGATGCTGGTACCTGCCGTTCAGCAGGTCTTTCTTGCAGAGCTGACGAAGAAAGGCAACCATATCTGCACTAGACCTTCTGACCTCAGTTTTCAAAAGCTGATTTCCTTCGCTGAAAGCTTTCTCTGCGGAGGAGCTTTAATTCCCTCAGTTCTTGTGGCTGTAAACTCTGATCCACTCCAGGAGTCAGTTTGTAACTTAAAGGAGATTCAATATAGCCATTTCTGTACAGGCAGACCCGCTTGCAAAATTCAAAGGTGCTAAACATCACACCAAAGTATGGCACGATCTGATATAAAAAATAAAAGAAACACAATAATGCATGTTAGAATCACTAACTGTTCTTATCTTGGAAGTTTTTAGAATGACTTTCAGGGTTTCATGTTTGATCCAATCTCTCTATAGAGCTGTGCTTATATATATATATACATTATATATATATATATATATATATATAAAACTAAGAGTCTCACCTCAAATTTGTTGGCACCTGCAGCACGCTATAAGTAGGAGTTCACTATTTATACATAGCTAATTGTAGTGATAATGTAAGTAACAAGGAGTGTGCCAGCCTATATATTAACACATCTTTTAAAATACCTAGGAAAATTCTAGCTACTTTAGTAAACTCTAATACAGAATTTGGGATTTATCCTGCATGCAGTAGAATGACTGAACAATCCTTCTGCTTTGTGCAGAATCTGAGATTCTGGTGCTTTGTGGCTTTCCAGTAGCCAAGGTAGGGCCAGGCAGGCACCACCAGTTGTGTTGATACTCCATTAGCTCATGTGCAGTGCTCCGTGCAGACAATGCTCACCCATTGCACTGTAAAAGATATAAACTACCTTCTGTTTAGGCCATTGAGCTTTATTTTATGCTTTTAATTGCGTAGTAACTGATATACATGTCCTCCCAGCTCACTGCAAATGGCAGGTCCAAGGTGGCACTCTGGGCTCCCAGGGAAGCAGTTTATACCAGTGCAATTTTCTTCACAGCTTAGCAAAAGCATGGGGAATTACAGGAAACCAGCTGAAAGGGAGAACTTGCTCAGCTGCTGTCAGTGCATCCTTGCAGTCCTTCCTACATCTCCTGGCTTGTGAGTTAGCAGAATTCCCTTTTCTAAGGGCATTCAAATTAATTTGATGGAAGTAGTGACATCTAGAAGCCAAGCCTGCAGCTAGGGAAATATGACCTAATCTATGTACTGGGTTACAAACGATATATAAAAATAAAGCTGATTTATAACCAGCCTGAGATTTCACCAGTTCTCTCACAGACTGTCACCAATAAACTGCTAACAGGTATGGAGAGAGGCCACATAACCCCGTCCCTCTGACAGGCTGTCTGGGTTAGTTCAGGGCAGTCTGTGGCTGGGATGAGAGCAAAACCTCACCTTGAGCAGACTGGGCGTGAGCCCGCTCCAAAGTCCGAGCACACCTTTGTTCTTCACGGTTTGACGGAAACAGTCAGTCATGCCAGTGAAATGGACATCAACCGCTCCGTAGTGGGGAAGCCAAGGACTCTGCGCCTGCTCGAGAGACACCCAGGGGGTTTTAGAACAAATAAAGAAAGTAAAAACGATGAGAAATAATTATTTCCTCCATTCTGGCAGGAAAGGAATGCTTTGCTTCATGCCAGGTTTCAACAGTTGGACCTATCTGTCAACCTATCAGGCTTTAATCAATATACTTGAAGAGAATTAACTATTCTASCTTAAAATGCTATTAGCAAAGGGAGGGAATCCATGCCCTGGCAGCAGCACAGAGGAGRGCGGTGCTTGCAGACAGCGCTTCCTTTAGTACCGCTTTGTTTCCAGAAACAGCTGTCGCCCTTGCCCAAACGGAGCGGACGACCTGCCCGGCGGGCAGAGGGTGACAGGAGCTGGGCGCAGGCTGGCAGGCCCCAGGGACCCAATGGGTACCAAGGGACCACGGTCCCAACCTGCGCCACACAGCCGATTGACCCACAAGGGCCGGTCAGCCCGGGAACATCTCGCTGGCCGGCAGCTACGTTGCACGGAGCCTCCGCTCACTTGGGCAAGTGCAGAGTGTTGATTTTAACAGCAAAATCCTCCCCCTTTAATCTCCTACTGTGTTAGCTCAGACAAGATAACCTGGCCTTGAATGATCCCATCCTCATCCATGTATGTGATGCCACATTCTGCATGGGCAAAACGGGGTTTGGCTCATGCACATGGCAAGTGACACTAGGCAAGACACCTAGCAGTAACTTGCATGTGTAAGCTGGATCACAACAGGACAGACATTCAAAAGATAAGTAAGAAAAAAAGAAAAGAAAAAGAAAAGGAGCTGTACAGTTACCTGACTGGCAAATACAGATATTATTATCCCTGCACTGATCTAGAACACCACGTGCCATAACCATTTTCCTCTGCTTGGCCAAACTACCCCACAGCTTCTCAAAGGTGCTAAGCTTACAACGAGCCCCCTTCATACCCTGACAACTGCAGGGCATTTTCTAGATACTCCAGCTATAGCATTTCAGATACTTGGCAGCTTGGTTTAGACAGTGGAAATGGATGCAGCCCAAAGTGGATGCTCCAATATGTAAGAGGGGATGGCAGTAAGTGGGGTTTAACCTTGTCGTATCCCCTTGTGTTACTGGTAAGTCTACTTACTTACCAGTACTACTATTACTACTGCTAAGAGAGAGAGAGAAAATAAAACAAAACAACCCCCACACCACAACACCTCAAATCTCCTGCAAACTAGTTGCACATGCCTTGTTTTATCTTGAATGTTTTTCCTCCCATTTTTCATGCATGAATGTAGTGCATGTGATCAGCTCCTGACTGCAGGTAAGATCCTGTGGTTTCCTTGTGAGGGCACTTTGGAAGTGCCCTGGGCACAGAGATCTGCAGCTGCCTACACGAGGGAAGGTGGGGGGCCTGCCCCACAGCCCACGGCTCCRTCTGCGCCCCCTTATCGGGTCTTGGCTCTTTGATCCCACGTACAAATAGGGTTGAGGGTTTAAACCAAGGTCTTTTACACTTAAGAAGGAAAGAGCAGAAATATTTGCTTCTGTTTGAACTTCCTCACCAGTGCACCTGATCCATAACAGAGGGAGGTCACATTTTTGGGGGAATAAACAGCTTAATTGTTCTAATTGCTTCCCTGCTTCATGCCTATATTGACCTTGCTAACTCCCCGTGGCTGTAGCTGTTTTCATAATTCCTACCTGTGGAGCAAAATCCCAGAAGTGCCTGTTTTAGGGCTCACAGAGATGGACATTATTGGACTTGTTATTTTGCAGTATTACTGGCCGTGCCTTTACAGAAAGTCCAAGATAATGATGCTACCTGGTCACTGAAAGCCATGCACATGTTCACCAAGCTCGCAAAGCTCAGCTGCCTGCTCGACTGTCACCTATGGGCTAGGAGGGTTTGAAAAGCAACAGCTAAATCCAGCAGCAAGAAAGAGAGAAATCATTTTTCATGTCTTGAGAAACCGCTATACAAAGACTCTCATGACCATACTGTGAAAAATGCCGAGTGCTACCATCAAGGCCTCAGACCATTTCCACCATTCTTATGGTGATGTATGTACCAGGGCTGCTTAGAAAAGCACCTGGATGATGCAGGTACCCTCAAAAACGCACCTCCAGTCTCAGGGAGCTGGGCTCAAAGCMCTGGTCCCTCCCGGACTGTCAGGCAGGTTGCACGAGCCTTTCTGGTGGAGGGAGCTGCAAGCAGACAAGCAGTGGAGAGGAACAGCTTTTCCAGAAGCAGAAGTGCTGCTGGGCATGTGATTCCCTTCTCAAGTCTCTCTGTGATGGGCAGGGCACGACCTGCAAGAATTAACTGCAGTTTAACTTAATCCCCTTAGCTAGTGCATGCATATTGCAAGGGCGCAGATCAAGGAGCTGCGATTGCAGCGCTGCTGCATGCAGCACAAACACAGGCTACGAGCTCGCTGCTGCTCACAGCAAGATTTTGCATGCTGCAAAAAATACCCAGGATAACGTTAAAAAGGTGCGGATAAGTCAAAAATAGAGATTTCTAATTTGTCCACAGACATTGATCTCTTAAGAGATTTACTGAAAGATTATTTTTAGTAACATTCACYGTGACTACAGCCATTTTCAACATTTCAGTCTGAGAGGTGCAATATGCTTTGTTGACCTACTGCTGTAAATGAACAGTTTGCTTCTAAAACCTTAGAGTATTAAAATAACAATTGTCCACAGAAACTCAGTCACTTACTGCAAAAGGAAAAGGTGCATCCGTGTATAGATAATTAAAAATTCAAGCTTTTGGAACACGACTAAGCAAAGTTAGAGTGTATTAATGAAAGAAAAAAATAAGAGGTGTTTCATTAGCACCTCTTTTAATGAAAAAAATGGTTGTGGGTTTTGGGTGGTTCTGCATCATCTAAGCATGTCTGAAAAACTGGAATCCTTGAAACTGCAGAACAGCACCAGAGCTGGAACGTGGAGCTAACCAAACAGATCAAACTAGTTTCTCTGCTCCAGTTTGGCAGAACTCYAGTGTCACACACAACCCAACGGGCACTCTCAGATCAAAACGATGGTGTTTGCGGCTGGATGTTTCGCGCCACGCACCTCGGAGCAGCTCCGGTTCCTTTCCTTTGACACCACCTGGCATGATGGGCTGCTGAATGGAAACCTCTACGTTATGAACGTTTAAGGACTTCCTCCTTCAGTTGGGGCTGCAGATACTGCACAGCAAATGCACTGATACCACAGAGAGCCGCGTGGTTACTCACACTTGCAGGGTGTTTAAATTCCTAATCTACTTGTTCTATTTGTTCCCTCATGAACACAAACACCCCTTTAGCACTCAGAGGCCACTGAATCTAGCGACTGCGATGCCTCCCCAAAGTTAGCAGTCTGATTTACGGGGCAGACTTCATGATCTCAAGCGTCTTTTCCAACCATAATGATTCTATGATCTACTTTGAGAATCCAACCCGAAGAAATAGTTATGTATCGACTAGGTACTAACCAGRAAATAATCTGCACTCTGGATCATGTTTTTTTTTTTCATATTAACAAGATATTTAAACTAAAGTGTCAGGATAAAACTCTTTTCAAGGGAATAAAGTTAGTTGCTACCTGAGGACTCTGCAAACACCACCCCTCCTCCTATGGGCTGCAGTATGAGGTGGATATCAGAACAACATAGAGTGATTTTGGGAAGTAATCTCACAGACCCTTTTGGAGATTTCCCTGGTAATGACCTCCTCCAGCCCCAAATAGCTACTCTCTTCCTCTCAGGATTGAAGGAAGGAGGTAGTTCACTGTGGTGAGGGTGGTGCCCATCCAAAAGATTGATCATTTGAGTCTTTCCAAGGCTCACAGTAGCCCACAGGCACAGTGGGACCCAGCGTCTGCAGCTGTGCTGGCTGGGCCACCTGAGCCCCTACCTGGAGCTYTGCAAATGCAAAATCCTCACTTGCAATTCAGGACATCTTGGTTTGCAGTTGTCTGAATTCCTGCCTAAGTTTGTCCATAGTCAGCGGCCAATTTGCAAGTACTTCCCTTTCAGATCAAGTGCTTTTGTTCTCCCCTTTCTTGTTTACAAAACCACTGTTGATACAAAGTCTTGCAGTACTACTGGCATGGGGAGTCCGATAAAACATTTAACAGTGAACAGTTACCATAGCAGATCCACTGTCTTGATGGGCAGCCATAATAAAAATCACTTGTTATTTACCAGTGTTCTTTGCCACTTACAAATACAATATATTCAGGCATCCTGCTCTTCTGATGAATTCTAAGGAAGCCCAGGAAGGCACTTCACAACATAGCTCAAGAGTTTACAGAATCTAATCTGGAATCTAAAATAAGAAGTCTTTACAGTCTGGGTTAATAAGGACACATCCAACAGGCTAACTAGAGATGAAAGGAACCTGAAGAGCAAATTCTGCAGGTTTTCTCCAGGCAACTCCACTATGATCCTAAAAAAAAAAAAGAAAAAGAAAAAAAAAGATGGAAGGCTTAAAGGAATATTTCTTTCCACTCAAACAAGAAACAACTAAAAGGTAAATAAAGATTAACATCGAAAAAACAAACAATCATGCCTAATCTTGTCTAAATCAACCCCTCCTCCTCTCAGAACAGCCTGAAGAGGCAGCCACTGCCCATCCTGCGTCAGGGGTTTAGCAATGCTCGTTATTATCCCGGGACGGGGACACCAAGTCCACCAAGGGTGTCCGGGCACGCAGGGAGGAGAAGGATGACGAGGTATCTGTAGGCAGTCGTTTCCAGAGCGCTGCAGCAGAGAGCCCGACCTCCAGCTTCCTGCACTCTAGAAACAGGTTGTCCTCTCCTCTGCAACCTGAGCCGGGGCCAAATTCTTCTCGCCTTGCTGAAATCTAATGGCACTGAGGGACCAAAAAGGATGAGTTTAACTCCTAGCTTTAAGTAGGTCATGGCCAGGCTTGTTATAGCCTAAAGTACACGGAGACACAGCAGGAGGCACGTGGCCCTTGCATGCAGAACTCCCTTCCTCCCCCTCTTGGGGTGACAGAGGCCTGGGAGATGCCAGTGTCTTTTCTCATATAAGGAAACAGGGCTGAACAATCCAACTTAGGCAAAGTACATAGACCAGGGTGTAAAACGAACAGGATGGGACTATTTGATGAGCCCTTTCCTTAGTAAAAATACAAGTTTCATGTAACCTGTTTCACCCAGTCTCTCAGTGCAGCAATCAGCCCTACGAGCACAGCAAGTGCTGACAGGAACTTCCCAGGAATCTGCCCCCCTTGGCTCACTGAGCTGCGTGCTGGAAGGTGCAACCTCGGACTGGGATCTTTCTTGTGTCTGGGACACTGCAGACTTGTTTCCCAAATAGGTTCTCTAGTGTCAGGGCAAGGCCTCACACTGCAGGCTCCTTTTTAGAATAACTCTGGAGTTTCTTCTCTATATGGGAACTTGTATTTCTTTTTTTTTTTTTTCCCCATAAAAATTGAAGAAACTCGGTATCCCTGAAACCTCTGCTTCTCTGTGAAGTTTAGCTGAGGTTGGCAGCTGGATCAAAGGTGACTGAGAAGCAGGGCAGCCAGCCAGCAGCAACATTAACCTTACTTTCACATGAAATTGGACTAAAAATACTCCTATTGCTCACTATTTGCTTCCACACTGGAATCTGCCACCCTGGGTGGTCAAAGGTTTTCACCTCTTGGAAGTGTTCAAAACTCAGGCTCCCGGGCAGTTCTTTAACAAGAAGTCTCCCCACACAATTTCAGTGCACGTATGCTTTTGGGATGGCGTGTGAACCACACGACCCAAGAAGGATTTCTTATTTTTAAACSGGGTCACGACTCTCAAAACCTCCATATTCCCAGCTGACAAGAGCCCAGATCTCACAAGCAGCAGGGACAGCGGCAGCACGGGAGCTCGCAGAGGCCTCCTGGCCAGCACTAGCCCTCATCTCTGCGGGCTGCCCGCGTTGGAACAGCACCGGGGCAGTCTCCTCCTTTCAGCAGCCACAAGGTGCTCTCCTAATGAACATAATTTTCTTTTCCAAAGCTTTCCTTAGAACCCAGCCACTGCGTACTTGACTGACTTTTAACATGCAAGAAAACATAGCTAGGAGACTGCTTTTAAACACAGACTTAAGCATTGCCTTAAGCTAACTTCAGACTAGAAATGTGCCAGCTGAGGACAAGAATGCCTTTTCCTTAGAAAGGTTCCTTTCCAGAGAGAAGGATTGCTCAGTTTTCCCAAGGTTACCTAGAACACATGATGTTGGACTAGATGATCTGTAGAGGTCCCTTCCAACCTTAAATATTCTGAAATATTCTGAAATATTCTGAAATATTCTGAAATGTTTGCACTATTTACAACAAATTCCACACTTACAGAGCATCTTGTGTGCCAGAGCACCAAAAAACACACACACAATAAAACAAAACAAAGCAAAAAAACCCCACCCACAACCCATTCTGCAGATTGACGGGCAGCCTCAGCCTAATTCAGTTTGTCACTCAAAAATGCCCTTCTTGGGTGACGCATGACAACAGTCGACACAAACAAGGAACAGAGAGTCTGTTTGTTCACAATGGAATACACAGCTTGGATTATAGAACAGAAACATCGGGCACTAATGAACAATTCCCCTGAGAAACATCTTCACAACATAACGGATGCTGTGCAGGCAGCCCCACAGATATGCTGGATTCTTCAGTAAGCAAAAATAGGCTTATTCTAGATTAAAAGCACTTACTGGCAAGGAACTGTTTTATCTAGTTTTAGTTGCACAGATTAAACCCAGCAAAATATGAGCACAGTAGTTAGCTTCCACAAACACAGTTCGTTCACGTAAGGAAATGAGGACTATCTGTACAGAAGATGAAGCATTTGTTAAATCGGGGGGTCATTTTTGTGTATTTTGTCTTTAAAAAACAACAGTCACATGTCATGCTGGAACAAAGGCAAATAAGTTTCCAGCTGTGGAGTATGTGAGCATGACTGAGGGTCACGCGCCCAAAGGGAAATGCCAAACCTGGCTGTGGGGTTTGCTCTGACCATGTGTTTCCAGCTCTCCACACAGTTTTGGCTCAATGTCAAGCTGACTTTAATCTTCTCCACAGCCAACGTAACAGCCTCAAATTTATCTTCCCTTGCTGAAATGCTGGGGAAGACCTATGAGGCACAACATAGGCAGAAAGATGATGTGGGGAAGCAGAAACATATTATCAGTGTTCCCCTTAGGTCTGGGCTCCTTTATAGTCAGACACTTCCCTGGTAACAGTGAAAAGAGTGCGCTCTTGTAGGCCTGAGTCTGCAAGGTAGAAGRGCCCTCCTTGAACACTGCTTAGACATTGGGTTGAGCAAACAGCATAAAATTGTGAGGAAGGAAAGCCAAGAACAACTAGCTGCTAAAAAGATATAATAATCAGTAAGGTTTTCTTCCAAATTTGATACAGCATAAAAGTGAGTCAGGAAAGTATTTTATATAAAACATGCCTTTGAATAACCCTCTCCTTAATAACTAATTCCCTTCTATAGATGTAGAACAAAAGCCATATGTCCATGACAAAAACATGCATACAGTACCTCTCCATTCTCTAACATGCCAATCAGGAGCAAAGTGAAAAAAGGAAGACAAAGGAATAAAATTAGGATAATCACAACAAAGAGGACTCACATATRTGTTAAGATTCATTCATATTAACATTTTTTAAGAAACCCAGTCAATTATATTTAGTAACATGGCATTTTTTTGGGGAAAAAAAGTCAACAATGTACTTGTATCAGAGCGAGTAGTAGTCATGGTTACAGAATATATGTGACATCACATTTCATCACCCAAATACAGAGGAGTAATTGCTCACTGGCAGCTAACTCCTACTCCCACAGATGCTAACGCCAGAAGCTGCTTACATCAATAGTGTGGGATCCAGTTATGTAAAATGAGAAGGGGTGGCACAACACAATTATAAGAGAGGTTAGAAATAGCCCCTTCCTCTTCTTCTCATGACGCAATTTCTTTTCCAGTCTATATAAACATATTGCCAAGTACACATACATTTAAGTAATGTCTAGATGAGGAGAAAGATGCAGCTACCTTGCCCAAGGTTGCCCAGTGTGTCCAGCAAAGACCTGGACCTGGCGTTCAGATCTCAGACCTGTACTCGATTCTGGGATCAGAGAAGACTGCTCTGTGACCATGTTCCTCTATTTTTAAGCTCCTGGGACAGCCTAAGAATTCCCTAGCTCCCCATTACCAAAAGGTTCACAAGAAGAAAATTTTCTGGCAATGTATCATCTCCGTCTGTGAGATCAGTGGGATGGAAGGGAGAGAAGGAGGAGGATTTATAGTGACCTCCAAAACATTCTGGGTTCCTCTTCACTTACTAAACTCCCATCCAGATCTTCAATAAAAGCCATCATTTCCCCACACTGCAGTGCACTCACACTGGGTTACAGGCTTCAGCAGCCCTGTCTTTTAATTAACTAGCAAACTGAATCACTAAATGGGATCAGAACAAGGTATCTAAGAAACAAACAAAACAAAATAATCTCCCAACTATGATCTATAGTTTCTGCTTCTATTTTCTACAGGACACTGAGATGTCTTAAAGGCTGTTTTCTCCTCCTTTATTCCTTTCTCTCTTCTGACTGCCACCCTGTGAACTGAAGATCCCATCCTGCCTTCTGAGCACCCTCAACCAGCACCCCTGCAGAACCCGTTCTCAGGAAAACCACAGTGCCTTCCATAGGAGGCGAAACAGCTGACAAAAGTGACAAACAAAAAAGTGACAAAACAGATGACAAAATGAGCGCAGTGTAGGGCTGATCCCTGCAAGACTGGGCCATACTCTGAGAAGAAATGGGAAAAAAGACAACTTTCTGGACTACCTTATATGAGATAAAGCAAGCCCTCAATGTCAGTTTGCATGGGATCTTCAAGAGGTTTCCTTTGTACAAAAGCCTCTGCAAATCACCTCATTTCCAACACCAAATTAAGAGTTATGGGTTTTCGTTGTTGTTTTGTTTTATCCTTATGCAGTTACTTATTCTGAAATGTCCTTGCCTTAGTCTATGCTTTCAGAACAAACTTCTCAACAGAAGGGTCTCTCCAGGCTTGGAAATCACTATGCAATTGTTTCAATGCACCTATGGGGAAAAAACCTCCCAACTTAGCCTTTTTGCCTTCCAGAATAAATTTTCTGTAGATCTATTCACTATACTTCCGTACAATACATCCAATTCCTTTCTTATTTTAGAAGCCCCAGTCAGATGTTTAAAGTATCCCATTGGTGATTTAAGTATCCCACCAGCACAGCCTAGTGGCACAAAGACAAAAAAAAGTGTCCTTTTCATGACTTCACTTACCCGGCTGGACAAATCTGGACACCTGCCTATACAACATCGCACTGGTTACTTTTGAACTGACTACAGAAAACAAATGTCCAAAAAAACATGTAATGGAATTAAATAATCAAAAGGGAAATGCCATAGGAAATGTATTTCTCCATTTTTAAGTGGAGTGTTAAGCCCACAGTGTTGCAAAAATATTCAAATTTACATGCTCAAAATTTCTTCATCATCTTAGACAGTTTATGAGATATGTGATGAAGTGGGGCAGGACAAAGCATGACCTCTCCCATGACTGCTTTTTGGAGGTGATTATGGAAGTTTCTCATAAACCTGCTGTCCTATCAGCTATGCTGAAAGAACTAACTCATATGCCAAAGCCAGAGAATAGCTGTATTCACTGCTGATTAAATTTTAATGAAAATAAAACAACATGAAATTAATTATGTCGGTAAGATGGGAGCTGTGGGGTGTTTGTTATTTTTAACCATTATTACCAATCTTTCAGGAGAAAGAAGCAGTAAGTTTATATATAATGATGTAGTTACTTTGACAGTGCTGATGCTCCAGCAAAACAGCAGTTTCAGCAACTGTAGTGCTCTGGTAATAGAAAAAAGTAGAAATCACGGTTATCTGCCCAGTCTTGCCCCAAACCTCTGAAATAAGCACATATAACACAGTACTCGTAACAAGGTTGCTCTGTACCTGCATCTTCCTCTTTACAGTCTCAAAGGGGAAGGAAAGTGTCTGTGCCACAGCAGCTGCTACACAGCCATTTATAAAGTTTTGAAGAGGAGTGAAACGAATTATGGGTTCTTGCCAGATTCTGTCCAGGTTGATGTAAACAAAGAATGAGCCAGCAGAAAATGGGATAGCACCTAGAAAGCAAATCAGACAGAACGTTTACATGAGCACACAGTACTGTATGAAAACAGGTGCTTGCCACAATTTAAACAGACAGCACGAACAAGTGCTGATTTACACCTTGCACTACTCAAATCCAGCATCTGATTACAACAGATCATCTATAAAAGATGTTGTTGAGCTCTTCAGCATGCATGAATGCTAAGCAMATGGTCATAATCTGAAGGAATACAGTTGCAGCAATGGTAATTAGTATTGTCATGCTTTGTAAATCTAGATTCCTTCCACAGAATGACATTATTATTCACTTTTCAAACCAAATGCATGCATTATTGCAATAAATGATGTGCCATGATGCTCAAAAATGTGTTTTTACCTAATATAGCTGGGGAAACACCACGATACAGTGCAAAAAATCCTTCTTGATGCTTAATTTTGCGAAAAGCATGAAGAATTCCTCTGTAAGACGGTTCCAGTCGGTTCTGCACAATGAGCCGTGTCTTAATTACATCAGTAGGGTGAGTCACTATGGTTGCAACCATGCCAGCCAGACTTCCTGCTGTGATGGCTCTCCAGTGGGAAACATGCCCCAAATCATCCGTGAAGAGAATAACAAGTCTAAAGTAAACATATAAAAGAGGTATTACTAATCACAGTACAGAGGAAAAAAACAAAAAGGCAGATACTTCTTGATATAACTGTGGAGAAGAACAGAGCAAAATCCTTCAGTATTAAGAGTTGGAATTTCAGTATGTATTTTATCTAGGAGCCTTATTATCCTGTATAACACCACACAAGCACCAGAAGCTCTGTGACACTGAATGGGTGGATGTGCAAACACGAGCACAGCCAGAAGGACACAGCAAAGAGCCTGGAGAGACTTGCACACAGGACAGAAGATGAATCCACTTTTCAGCAAAGCGCACAAATGTAAAAGTTCACAGCTAGGTCAGCGACTGGAATACAGAAGTTTGTGCATGTGGTTTACTGCATTTAGTGTTACTGAGCTAAAATACTTCCAGTATCTGAAGGCAGCCTCTACCTGCAGSACAGATCACGGCACAGACTGAATTCACATAGCCTGACTTTCAGGAGGTCTAGAGCACCATTTCAACAGCTAAAACAAAAAATCCAAAAACTTCAATTATTTGGAGACTATTTGTTTAAATGATTTACTTGTTTACCTTTGAGAGATTTTTTTACTTTGAAGACATTTAATCTATAGAATCCTCATTTACATCTCCACTTACAGGGTGAAAATGACTAAAACTTAAAAACACCAGCAAGAAGGCCTCTGAAGATCAGAGACATTGGCCCAGTCTTCTACAAAATCATCCTCTACTCAAAATAATCACACAAGAAATCCAGAGATAAGTTCATCACAACCCTTTTAAGGAGTTGAACTGAACACTCCTCTGTTCATTATTTTACAACAGGGCAACCCCCAGGGATATGTTCCTAGAAAAGAATGATTAGCTGTGCTCTGGAAGTTAAATCCTAATTTGATTTTACTGAGTAAGGCACCGAGTTTGAAAGACTAACCTCATCCATTTGCAACTCCCAGAAACTCCCAAATCAGAGAGACGCGTCACTGAGGCAGCAAAAAGCAAGCGAAGTGTTAAGAGGAGAATCTCAGCAGGTAAAGAAACCTACTGCTCTCATTCTGAAGCACTAGTTAAACTGCCTACACAGCAGATACACAATTTGGCTACGCAGTGTTAAAATGTCCAGAATGAAATACTTTGCGAAGAATTACATGTCATTTCTTGCTCGGCTGTTGTTTCCACACATTCAAGTGTGCCTTTTCTATTGCATAAAAGATCCCTGTATCCACTTGCCCTGTGCCCTGGACAGGATGCGAAGCAGAAACGCTAAGCAAGCAGAAGCAAAAATGCACCATTTTTCGGTATGAAGTGTCTTTCTTAGCCCCCAGGGCCAACAGGGCTTGATTTCTCTATGCACGTGGGGGTGTCTCTGAACTCTACCTGAGTAACATTTAAAACCAGCAAGCAGAGACAGAGCCTGCACACAGTAACCCAGGAGTAGGAGGGCAAAGTCAGCTAAACTGCAGCCCTTTCACCGCCAGCTTGGCTCCCGCTGTGCTGCCTTTCCGGGCGCCGCTAACTTTCTCATCACCCCACATCCTTCTGCAGGGAGCGGTGCCATCTACACTACAGTGTAACACTTCTCTCTCTTTTTGTTTGCTGTCTAGGGGGAAAAAAAAAAMCACAAATAACACATTACAGAATACGTGCAAGTAGCTTTTACTTAATTTTCCCAGCACCCTACTCCCACTTATTACCCAGAAGAACTCACAGAGCTAACCGAGACACAAGCCAAAGCCTTGAATACAGCATTGCAACTTCAAACAATCAAGTTATTTTGATGAAAATTTATTGCTCTGAGTCAGCTGGTAGAGAAGAGCGTGACACCGTAGGGAGCTCCAAGTGAGGACACTTAAACCACAGTTCTGCCTCCGCACTGCTGTTTTCCCCACGCTCCCTGCCCACTGTCTCACCAGCAGAACACAGAGAAGCCTCCCGATTCCCGACCGTGCCGGCAGCGCTGCGGAAACGGCTCCTGCTCGGGCACACGGAGGATGGGCCCTTCGGCGGGACGTGAGGCCTGGCAAGCGCTGCCAGCCGCTTGGCTGCTSCCCTCCCAGCGCACCCATGGACTGGAACAACCCACCTGCCGCCCGGCAGAAATGTCAGGAGGGCCACGCGCGCCGCCGACCCTGGCGGCAACAGCAAAACACGACGCTGGCAGCGCTGGCCGCCGCACGCAGGCGGCCAGGCGAGCTGCCAAAGCCTGGGAAACACCCGCTGCGAAAGGAGAATTCCAGGCAAACGGCGCCACGGCCCCGCTCCGCACCGAGCAGGCAGCCCTGCTGCGGTCACCCCCGCGTCTACATCAACCCAGGGGCTTCTGTCAGCCAAGAGGGAGATTTGAAACGTATGAGCCTCAACACATATCAACGCATCAACTTCGACATGGCCAAAGTAACAGAGCAGCAGCTGCACGGCAACAGGAAGAAAGATCCGAATCACRGTTTTGATCAGCTATTCTTTTCCTGAATAAAGACATTTGGTACTACCGCTTGAGAAACTACCAGCAAACAAAACAAACAGCAAGGAAGGGATGTCACGGCTGCAGACAGTGGTTGTACCCTCCTGTCTGGAGCAAKCTCTGGCCGTATGGAATAGATTTAAGGCGCTGTGAAGCTTTCTGCACCYGAAAGGCACTGGCGACGTGACCCGCAGCTGCTAGACGGGCAGCGGTGAATGCGCTGCCCGCAGCCGAAATAAACGAGAGCAAAGTCAGCAGTCTCGAGGGAGAAGGGGGTGCAAGGAGCTCCAATTCGAGCGGGTTCMATGCCTGAAAACATACATACATATACACACACATATACATATGTAACATATACAGAGCGGAGCTTCTCCCGTCCCGTCCGCTCTCCTCCGCGGGGGCCGCGCCGCGCCGTGCCGGCGCCGGGCTCGCTTACCGGCGGGAGGCGGCGAGCTGCAGCGCGCTGTAGGGGCAGAGGCGCAGGCAGGCGGTGAGGTTCCCCTTCCAGAGGGCGCGCAGYCCCTCGGCGCGGCAGAGGCGGCGCGCGGCGCCGCGCAGCCCGCGCGCGCACTGCCACGTGCCCACCTGCGCCAGCACCGTGAGCAGCTCCAGCGGCGCCGTCAGGCTGAGGCTCAGCGCGCCCGCCAGCCCCGCGCAGCCCAGGCGCTGCGG